GCTCCAGTAAGAGCAAATTGATGGCTTCTTTATAATCCCCATGAGAATTGTAAGAGCCCAGAATTTTTTAAGTTCAGCGACATCTGTGGGATGCCAAGCACACTCCTCCCTGACTGCATAGCTATCTGGATTGGTATCAATAAATTGGGTAGCATATAAATTAGTCTGGGGAGCAATCTCCTCCCACATGGTATCCCCTAAAAATAGCTCCATATATTGCATAGAGGAGAAGTCATCCACATTGACATTAATGCCTGTGTTGGCACTAAAAGGGGTGATTTGGGGCTCAGCTAACTGTGGAGAAACCTGTTCCTCCTCCACATTCGGCGTAGCAGAGAAAGCACAGCTTCTTTTGCAGCCAGCTCACACACAGATGACATGTCAGAAAACTGACCTGGGTCAAAATCGGACGCAGTGTCAGTGGCGTCAGAGTCTGGCTAACACAGAGTTAAAAAACAGACTAAATGAGACTAAAACTTCTGTTAGCAGCAATCTGTAAACTAACTCCTGCAAAAAGAATCTAACTGGAGATTTGGGGAAGGATACTGACTAACAGAAATTTGCTGCTTTCAAAATAAACAAAAAAAATAAATCAGGAACAAGTATTATAAAAATGTATTTTCTGTGTGGTAGACCTTAAAACATTCTCCAATGCACAGTCCAGGTTTTGTATGGCAATCGGGACAGTGAAAAGGGGTGTCTGTCCTTTTCCCTTTTTTATAACAGACCCGGCAACGTTTCTGGGGGTTTCTTTTTTTTGGTGTTGGCGGTATCTTAAAAATAAAATGTCTAGACGACTCTTGCACTGTCGTTGGAACTTGACCATCTCCATAAATTATTGTGGAAATCAGCTTGAGCTGAAATTGGAGATAGGTGGTTCTTCCTGGATTAATTTTTTTAAAAAGTAAAAATGAATTATGTGTTGCTACTTGCAACAGGTAGATAGCCACCTTTTTATACCAGGCTTTTGTCTTTCTTAAGATAAGATAAGGCTGCATCAGCTGATCAGCCAAATCAACACCCCCCATGTGCCTGTTATAAGCCCTGATGCACACCGGTTTTGTCTGTACCCTGCCTCGGACAGTGACGTCTGACATGCCCTCGTTATGGATGGTTGTTATCATGTGAACATCCTTCCTGTCCTTAAATTTTAGCGCAAGCAGTTCAGCCTTGCGCAGAGCTTTGCATTCCCCTTTTTTTAATTTGGCCTCTATGAGAGGTCTGGGAAAATCCTTGGCATTTCTTCTTACAGTGCCGCAGGCCAGTGTCTGTAAACTATAAAGAATTTTAAACAAGTGGACACTGCTGTAAAAATTGTCCACATAAAGGTGGTAACCCTTATTGAACAAAGGGTTCAGTAGGTCCCAAACAAGTTTCCCAGTTGTCCCCAGAGAGTCAGGACAGCCAGGAGGGTTCAGTTGAGCATCTTTCCCCTCGTATACACGGAAGGCAAATGTGTAGCCACTTTCGCTCTCGCAAAGTTTGTACACTTTAATGCCATACCTAGACCGCTTTGAGGGGATATATTGTTTGAACCCTAATCTCCCTTTGTATTTCATAAGGGATTCATCGATGGATAAAGTTTGTTGGGGAGTATAAACTTCAGAAAATCTGTTCTGAAGATGGTCTACCAGTGGGCGTATTTTATAAAGCCTATCATATTCGGGGTGATCTCTGGGGTGACAGAGCGTATTGTCGTTAAAATGTAAGTATCTGAGCAGCAGCTCATATCTTGGTCTAGGCATTGTTTGGGAGAATATAGGAGTCGAACAAATTGGGTTGGTGCTCCAGTAAGACCGGATTGATGGCTTTTTTATTATCCCCATGAGCATGGTAAGAGCCCAGAATGTTTTAAGTTCAGGGACATCTGTGGGATGCCAAGCATGCTCCCTGACTGTATAGCTACCTGGATTGGTCTCAATAAATTGGCTAGCGTATAAATTAGTCTGGGAAGCAATCTCCTCCCAGATGGTATCCCCTAAAAATAACTCCATATATTGTATAGGGGAGAAGTCAACCACATTCACATTAATGCCTGCGTTGGCACTAAAAGGGGGGATGTTGGGCTCAGCTAACTGTGGAGGTACCCAGTCCTCCTCCACATTCAGCGTAGCAGGGGAAGCACAGCTTCTTTTAGCAGCTGGCTCACTCACAGATGACATGTCACTAGACGTGCCGCTAAACTGACCTGGGTCAAAATCGGACGCAGTGTCAGTGGCGTCAGAGTCTGACGCCAAGAAGGCATATGCCTCCTCCAAGCTGTACATGCGCTGCATGTTTCACACCAACAGACTAAACTAACAAAATACTAAACACAATATTTTTTATTTTTTTTTAAACACTAAAACAGACTAAAACAGACTAAAACAGTAATCCCTAAACTAACTCCTGTTAGAAGAATCTAATGGAGATTTGGGGGAAGGAAACTGACTGACTACGACTATGACAGACTATGACAGACTATGACAGACTACGACAGACTACGACAGACTAAAACAGACTAAAACAGACTAACAGACTAGACAGTCTAAGACAGTCTAAGACAGTCTAAGACAGTCTAAGACACAGATTTTTTAAAATAAAGTTAACCCTTAAGGGCAAAAAAAAAAATACAGACAGTAAAAATGCACTGTCTGTAACAGATCTGGCAGGGAAGGGGTTAAAATAGGATTTTAATTAACTGAAGATACTTTTTATTTTTCACAGGAACAGCTGCTGCAACAAACTATCAGGATCTCTGTCTCTCTCCTCTCACAAAACGCTACAGAGAGGAGAGAGGCAGAGATCAGTGTCAAAGTGAGTGTTTGTAACACCCACTTTGACACCAGCCAATTGTGAGCGATCGCGGATCGCTCACATGCCGCAATTGGCTGTTACTATCTGCCTGGGATGCCGGGCAGATAGTAACAACGGGATTTCAGCGGAAGCGATCTCTGATCGCTCCCGCCGCCCGTTTTCCGTTAGGACGGTTCAGGACCGTCCTCGGTCGGCAACGCAAAAATGCCGAGGACGGTCCTGAACCGTCATGCGTCCTTAAGGGGTTAAAATTAACTTTTTTGTGTAGAAAAATCCTGTAGCAAAATCCAAGTAAATCACATCCACTGTAACACTCCAATCAACATTTGTATTACTTCTTTATCGAACACCATTAAGTTAGTTTGGCATAACCATATTATAACCATACTGATAATTGCTAATGATATAGCTGCAACCCACTGCAACCCACTGGTGGATCCAGGGGGGGGAAACAGGGCAATTGCCCCACACCCCCTCCCCAAGACTGCCCTGCAATGTGCCTACACAGACCAAAGATCTACCTCCCCGGTCCGCAGGCACCGTGCTGGCAGCCGGCAGGGGAGGGAGGACCCGGGAGCTCAGCCTGCAGCTCCGTCGGGTCCAACTCTTGCGAGCGCAGAGCGTTGCCGCGAGAGTGAACTCTAGAGTGAATTCTAGCCTTGGAGCCAGGTCCATCTAGGGTTAACCCTGCAGCTGTAAACATATCAGTTTCAGAGAAACTGCTATGTTTACATTAGGGTTAATCCAGCCTCTAGTGGCTGTCTCATAGACAGCCGCTAGAGGCGCTTCCACGCTTCTCACTGTGAAAATCACAGTGAGAAGACGCTGGACGTCTGTTGGAAAGCATTGAGTAATGCTTTCCTATGGACTGACTGAATGCGCGTGCGGCTCTTGCTGTAGTGGTTATTGTGCATGGAGTATTTCCCGAGATCAGGCTCTGGATCCGCCACTGTAGCAACCCATCATATAATTTCCCAACCACAGATTGTAAGCTCAGAGTTCTGTAGTTTCTGGGTTGAGCTTTTGTAATAAAAATTGTAAAAGGACATCAAGGTCCCTGAAAATAAGTAATTTTCCATTGTGTAGGGCCGCTAAAATATATGCCAAAATAAGCTCGGACTCATAGGTCCAGCAAAAGACCTGGATGACAATTTGAGCAAAACATAAATAACAACAAAGGAATAATAATAAATAAATAGCCATGAAACAATACTGTCAAACCGTGTGTTAAAGTACATTTGACTGAGGTCATAATAAAATAAATCAAACTACCAAGCTTCTATGTACAGTGGTGATTTACAGGTGTCTCATTTACACTGGTATCTCTCCGCAACATCCCCTGAAGGCCCCTATTTTGTACACCCTTTGATAAGTACAAGGTCTCTCCAGTGGGGCCGATGTGAGAGAGAGCAATAGTCAAAATTAAGTAATGGAGCCTTAACTCCTCAGTACTGGGTAAATATTTCTGACCAGCAACTCAAGACACCCTCTAAGTCTGCCTTTTCCCTGGAGCGTTATCCCATTCCTCCCTTGGATGTCCAGTCTTGATTTATCTTTTTAATAAAATCCCCTCCTCCCCATTTTTTAGAGACTTTTTGGATTCCCTTAAAATTTATCCCACCAGGATCTTGATTGTGATAGTTTTTAAAATGTTCAGATATACTGATTACTTAATTATTTTCTTATGTTATGTTATGTTCTGCTATTCTTTTCTGGTAGTTCTCCTATATACTGCTGTCTACAAGGACACGATAATAAATATGTAACATTTTTGCTGCAGTCTGATCTTTTATTTCATTTTTTTTTGTGTAGCTTTACATTTAAAAAAAATTATTATCCTCTCCTTTAAACCAGTGGACTTCTACATCCCACACATTATCCACATTACAAAAAAAAATCAAATTTTTTTTTTTTTAATTATTATTTAAAAAATGATCCATTTTGGGGGCGGGGCCCGACCACCGAGCTGGATGGCAGCATGCATGCTGAGCTCCTGCAAGCCATCAAACTCTAGGCTTTGAAACTATGATTTCCAGCACCAGAACCAACCACCAGCGGCGGTCCACAGAGCTAAAGGGACACTGGATCCAGGGTGAGGCTGGCTTATCGAGCTGCAGTCCCCTGGAGGAGAGGGCACCGATGCCACAATCGAGGCCTACTCTGGCGGTGAGAGGGGCAGACGGCCGCTGCCCCACTATCCTGCCTAACAGAACCCAGCCATGGGCCCAAACGAGTGTGGACAAGGCCCTGTCCCCCCCCCTCTAGACCGGTGGGGGTGATCCCGGTCCTCACCCCAAGGCCCTGACGAAGACATGGCGGCTGAAGCTAGGGGGCCTAACAGCCATGCCCAAGATGGCAGACGCCATGTGCACAGGAGACATGGGGAGAAACAGCTCACTCCCCGCTCTCACAGCCGACACTGCAACCCTTGCCTCTAGACCATGCCATACAGGGAAGCAGGATTACCTTTACCCACTAACACAGCCACTCAAGTCAGCGATGTCAGCGGCTGCCCTGGGGGGATGGGGGTACACAACAGACCGGCCGTTGCTGTATGGAGGGACCGAGTCTACCACCAAGCGTGTCACCTCAGCGGCGAGACAGACCTCCTACTTGCCTCCCACTCAGCCTGCAACAGCACGAACCCTGCAGCGGCAGCTATGTGTGGATGACGCCGGACCCCCCATCGCGGCTGACAACGGCCCCCAGGGGACCAAGCAGGACAAGCACTCCGTACCACGGCTGCAACCCCAGGGAAGCCGGCGAATGGCTCAGAGAGCGGCAGGGCTGGACTGTGTTTTGCTGCCTGCTCTGGTGGACACTCACCCACTGCTGCATGAAACGGACAGAGCAGGTATCAGATAGCAGCGGAACTACCCCTGTATTTGAGGTCTCAGCAACACCACAACGACGGCTCTTCACTGAGTCAGCACTGGTAGTTCCTAACGGCCGGGGTGAAAACGGCATTAAAGCGACATCACAAGACCTAGCCTGAATACCAATTATAACCAAACTACACTAGCCTGTTTGTAAAGCTACTGCTATAAATATATGAATCAAGCAACCTTTCATATCTAGCAAGTATTTTGTGCATAAACTTAATCTTGGTAAAGCGAATAGATATGTATGCTTAGCTTAATCAGTTATGCAAATCATCACTATATCATTTTCTTGTCTTCCTCATATCTCAAACTTGTTTAAAAAAAAAAAAAAAAAAGTGCAGCATCTCTTGACTACCCATAAGAACTGTTTATGATGATCTCATGTGTTGAACAAGTCAGTGTTTATGCATGTAATTTACTCTGCACTCAAAAATAAAGAATTAAAAAAAAAAAAAAAAATGATCCATTTTCTCTTCTTTTTTTTTTAAAAAAATGTCACCAGATTTGTTCTAAAATTGGTTGCTCCCCTAAAAGTAATCATCGGTTGATTTAGTAAAATCTTATTAAGATTCTCATCTAATTTTAATAGTGACATACATTTCTTGATAATTTTCTTTATATTTTTATGTTCTTTGCCATAGTCTAACACCACAGGAATAAAATTATATTCTTTTAATTTTTTTCTTGTACCCTTTGTCTCTCAATACAAAAGGCTGATTTAAAATATACTCTGGATAATTATTTTCCCCAAATTTCTCTTAAAAAATAATTTTTCATCTCTAAAATTTCTCTAAAGTCTTAATAACTGTCCTTTTGGTATATTTTGTAACAATGGGATAACAATGGATAATAATACCAACTGTTAAACAATACATACCCATTTACAAGCACTTTCTTAAAGTGTATTTTAGGTTTTGAAATGCCCTCTTCTACATATGTATATTTAAATCCAAAAATTCTAAATTGTCTTTACTTATATTACTGGTTAGATCATATCCCCAACCATTTATTGTTTTTTTTAAAAAATCAAAACTCTTCAAATGTTTCTTTTGTACCCTTTCAAATAAAATTTATGCCATCTATATTCTGGTGATAGTGCAGCAGGTGCTCACTCAGTCATGCTGCCCATATATAAAATATAATTCCCAATGGGCCATAAATAAGTTTGCGCAACTGGTTGCGTACCTACTTTTTATCTCCATGACCAGTTTTTACAAGTAACAATGAGTGAAGTACTAGAAGTAACTGTTATTTAAAGTCCATTCAAAACTTTCCAATGGGAAAATAATTGCTTTTGTTTTAGATCTGATTCCTCTTCTAAAAAATATCTGATTGATATAATGATGTTACATCACAAGATACAAGCATGGGTGGTGTTATCTTTAGGTGGGGATAATACCACCCAGGTCATGCTCTAGTAAATATACATTTCTTTATTCTCACCAATATTGATGCTAGTAATTACTTCACAATTGGAGCTTTTTATATTTTTATCTCCCATATATTCTTCAAAATTGGTTACTCATCTGGAGACTTCTCACCTGGATCAATTTTTATCCTAAAACGGGGATTATACCATCCATGCCCATAAAAGCAGAGCACTGAGTTAGCCCTGGTAAATGTGAGTGTGATATAAGATGGATTAATTACTTTATACTTCCATACTGTTTTGCACTATTATTTGTTTTGTTTCTTTTTTTTTATTCTGAGGTTTTTACTATTGGATCACTTCAGTGACATCTGTATGTATATAAGCACACACTGAGGTTGTATTTTTGTGTTTACCATTCTTTGTTATAATACTAAGTGTGACAGAGTCCCTGTCCCTGAATTATTGTTGCGCATTTACTGGTCCGGTATACTAACATCACCGTACAGATTGAACAATTTGGTTCGTATACCAAACTATATACCAAATGGACAGACCACCCAGAACAGTTGTGTGCCGCTCATTAACTTGCCTGACCTCTTTCATACTTTCGCAAACCACAATTACCAATATTCTAAGTGGTCGACTGGATGGTCGCCATTTGTATAGATTAACACGAGGCGGCGGCCATCTTGGTTTTTGCGAACGCATACAGCAGTGTTTGGTCGTTGACTGTATGGAACTAAAATCGGGCACTCGACGGTGCGAACACCGCTGGGACTTCCAACCCCATGTATGTTCGGGGACATCTCTGGCGGAAACCCCGCTTCTTTCGAGGTGGCTGACACATTAAGTTTGGGTATCCTCATACTATTTCACTGCTGCCCACACTTTTATTCTCTATTTTTATAATAGTGAGCGCCTATTATCTTTCTTGCTCTCTATAATAACACATATAGTATCTTATTTATTGATTATTTAACTGTACTAATAGTCCCTCTGGCCCAGTCAGGATGATTGAAATTTCAATTGATAAAAAAATTACCCAGATCTGCAGCCTTATAAAACTGAGATAGCAGTTGCTCTTCCCTATCAGAATTAAAGGGACATTCCACTACTACCAAATATGATGACAATTTTCTCTTGCAACAGAACAACCTTGAAATGTGTGCAGAGATGGTTGTTCATCCCCTTGCTTGTCAAATGTCCCAAGACATTTTTCCTGCTAAGCTCCTCGTGCCACGGCCAGCATTTTTCAAAACCTCCATCACCCACACTATCAAAATGATTTCACACTTTCCCCCTGTGCTCTAGACTCTTTTGTTCAACTTGAAATAGGGAGGTCTAGTGTGGCCTGGCACCCCGACTGTGAGCTTTCACCAATTCCTAGTACCTCTGAGTACTTTCAAGCGCTCCACCAGACACCATAACCACTTTAAACCCCACAACGAGCGTTACAGCTTGGTTGGGATCTCGCTGTCCTGCACCCACCCTGGACCCAAGACCAGGATCCAGCTTCCATTGGGTAGACCTCTTCTAATCCAGAGAGTAAGACTGGTAGCACCGTGTTGTAATCCAAGGGAGTATAAGAGTATAGCAATCCCCAGAGTGAATTTAGCTGTCCCCTCCACACATGAGACGAGGCTCTATGTTGAGGGTGAAGATGAACTGATTTAATGGGAGCCACATGCAGCTCCCCATGCAAGGTGTTTCTTATTACATATTCCAGGGGCATTCTCCACGGGACCTGAGAAGAGACTACAGTAAAAGTGGACAGCTACATTAACTATCAGGTCCAGGACATACATAACAAAAACACCCCAAAATACACACTTAACAATTGAGTACCCCCTCAAGTCCTATATCCCTGGATAGACTGGATCTGAGCACCCAACATATCCCGAAAGCACTCAGATCCCACGAATACAGCCTAAATGCCACAT